TTCTACACACACACACACACACACACACACACCCCTACCCCACTGCAGAGGCCACAGCACCAGCCTGGAATCCAGACTGGGGCACCCTGGCACAAGGGGGCACACAGTGCCCTGCACCCACTCAACCACTCATCCCCAGTGGGTGCAGGGAGATGGCCTGGAGCCTTAGGCCCTGGTTCGGGGGGGGGAACCCAGGCATCCGGGCCCCCCACGTTGTCTCCATACCCTGCCTGGCAGGCCTGTTTGTCCCTGACCAGCTGCAGGACACAGTCTCTTGCTGCTGCCAGCAATGCAACCTGGTTGCGGGTGACCCAGCTACAGGAGGCTCTGCCCTCCAGCACTCTCCCTGGACCCCTCCCCCCTCCTCCACTAGCCCTGGAGCCAGGACGCCTGGGTTCTCTTCCAGCTCAGGAAGAGGAGGGGGGGCTAGTGGGTTACCGCAAAGGTGATGGGGTGGCGGAAGGGGGCTGGAAGCCAGGATGCTTGAGTTCTCTTGCGGGGTGGGGGCTGTGAGGATGGTGGGAGACAGTAGGAGCCCAGACTCCTGGGTTCTCTGTGGTCTGACTTGGCCTCTCAGCTCCTGAATGGAGTGGGGCTGTTTGTACTGATTTTGGGGGGAGGGCATTTTGTTACTGGTATTCTGTGCTAGGGTCTCCGGGGTCGCTGCCCCTTTCCCCCCTCCTCCACACTGGGAATTAGGGGGGGGCTTTCCCCCCTTCACAGCGACCTGCCCCAGTGATGCCCCCCTTCCAGTAACCCCAGGCCCCCAGAAGTGAGGAGGGGGGCTGTGGGTCAGGACTGCCTTAACGCAGAAGTATTTAGCCCTCTATCCGTCTGTCCGGCCATCTGTCCGGCCCTGGCTGAGTATCCTTTCCACATCCCTCCCTCCCCCTCTGCCCCCGCTACTCCCCTGTGTCCCTGCAGTGCCTTCCCACCCCCCACCCCTCCCAGCACCGCACTGCGCTGGAGGCCGCAGCAACCCCAATCTGTGCCTGTGCAGGAAAGTGCTGACGGGACAAGATCTGTGCAAGGGGGGAGGGGCCAAGCTGGCCAGGCCAGGGTGCAGTGTGTGTACACCTGACTGCATGGGGAGGGGGGCAGGGGTGGGCAGCATGCATGTACACCTGCAGGGGATTGTATGTGTGTGTGTATATGTGCACGTGGAGGGGCTGCATGTGCACCCAGGCTCTCTCGAGGTATGTAGGGCTCTGTATACACACTTGTGGGGGTGTTCTATGAGTGTGTGTGAGGGAACCATGTATGCGGTGTGCATGCATGCTTGCAGGGGGTTTTGTGTGTGTGTGCAAGTATATGGGTATACACTTGTGGAGGTTGTGTGTCTGTGTGTTTGCATGAGTGTGTGCACTCACAGGGGGTGTGCACACTCTTGTAAAGGTGTGTTTGTGTGTGTGTGTTTGTGTGTGCTCTTGCAGAGGTTGCATGTGTGTGCACGCGCACACTTACAGGAGTGGTGTGTGTGTGCCCCTTGCAAAAATTTTGTGTGTATCCACACTTTCAGGGGTTTTGTGTGTGTGCTCTTGTACAGGTTGCATTTGTGTGTGGATGTACACTTACAGGGGTGATGTGTGTGTGCCCACCATTGCAAAGGTTGTGTGTGTGTATGCACACATTTTTACAAAGGTTGTGTGTCTAAGTGTGTGCATGTGTGCATTTGCAGGGGTCATATCTGTGTCTGTGCTCTCTTGCAGAGTGTGTGTGTGTATGCATGCACATGCGTTCACTTGCAGGCTCTGTGTGTGTATGTATGTGTATATGTGTGTATACACACACACACACACACACACACTGCTGCAGGGGATATTTGCATATGTGTGTGCAACGCTTGTGTACAGTCCCCTACTCTGCCACTCTGGCTTCCCCTGTCCCCGCATCACCAACAGCCTGATCCTGAGCCAACCCCAACACCCCTCCTTCAAGTCCAAAGTCAAAAGAAGTTCCAGTGGTGTGTTACCACCCGCTTCTCTCCCTTCCCACCCTGCCCCCACACACATGGGTGCCAACACCCCTGCCCACAGTGACCTCTGGATGCCAGATGGGATTGAGGGGACTGGTAGAGCCCAGACACCTGGGTTCTTTTTCTCTCTAGGCGCCAGTGGTGCTGATCTGAGGGTACCCAGGGCACAGGGGGCAATGGCTTGGGCAGTGGGTGGCAATTAGGCAGGGGCTTTTTGTCCGGGTGAGGGGGTTTCCCACTTCTAGGGCGGGGCTGAGATTTCCCAACTGGGGCCCTCTCTAATGATTCTCTCTGTGTCTCTCCCCCCGCACCGTCCATGTGCCCCCCCATTCCATGTCCCACCATCCCCGCACATGACATTCTCCTCCCACAACCACCCACCACCCACCCACCACCTGGCACCCTCCAGTACGTGGCTTTTGCCTCGCTCTTCTTCATCCTCATCTCCATCACCACGTTCTGCCTGGAGACCCACGAGGCCTTCAACCGCATCATCAACAAGACGGAGACGGTTGTGTTGGCTAACGGGACGGACACACAGGTCGACGTGGAGGTGGAGACAGAGCCCTTCCTCACCTACGTGGAGGGCATGTGTGTGGTGTGGTTCACCTTTGAGTTCCTCATGAGAATTAGCTTCTGCCCAGACAAGCTAGAGTTTGTCAAGAGCAGCCTCAACATCATTGACTTTGTGGCCATCCTGCCCTTCTACCTGGAGGTAGGGCTCAGTGGCCTGTCCTCCAAAGCAGCCAAGGATGTTCTGGGTTTCCTCCGCGTTGTGCGTTTTGTCCGTATTCTCCGCATCTTCAAGCTGACCCGCCACTTCGTGGGTCTCCGGGTGCTGGGCCACACGCTGCGGGCCAGCACCAATGAGTTCCTGCTTCTCATCATCTTCCTGGCCTTGGGGGTCCTCATCTTTGCCACCATGATCTACTATGCTGAGCGCATTGGAGCCGACCCTGACGACATCACGGGCAGCAAGCACACCTACTTCAAAAACATCCCCATCGGTTTCTGGTGGGCCGTGGTCACCATGACCACACTGGGCTATGGTGACATGTACCCCATGACGTGGTCGGGAATGCTGGTTGGGGCACTGTGTGCCCTGGCTGGGGTGCTTACTATTGCCATGCCCGTGCCTGTGATTGTCAACAACTTTGGCATGTACTACTCCCTTGCCATGGCCAAGCAGAAGCTACCAAAGAAGAAGAACAAACATATCCCACGTGCCCCCCAGCCTGGCTCCCCCAACTACTGCAAGCCTGATGCCGCCCCCAGCCCCCATCGTAGCACCCAGGGTGATGCTTGCCCCCTGGCCCAGGAGGAGATCATCGAAATCAACCGGGCAGGTAGGGACCCCACCTCCTCCCCCAGCCCCTAGTGCACCTACTTCATGCCCCGAGCCAGCCAGTGGGTCTCAGTCTGTTGCCAGCCCCACTGTGAGACCCCAACCCTACCACCCTGCTCAGCTCCATCAACACAGTACAGAGCTCCCAGCCCAGCCAAGAGGCTCTGACCAGCCTTCTCCTGCCCTGAGCAGCTGCCAACCCAGACTCTCGGCCCCAAGGCTCTCACCTCACTTAGCTTCATGAGGCTCCCCACCTTCCACCAGCCCTGGGCATCTGAACCCCGCCATCCCCACAGCCTGGGGTTCTGTTGTGCCCATGGTGCCTTCACCCCCTGGAAATCTCAGACCACCAGAGTGTCCCTCCCCATAGCTCAGCCCCCTTCTCCCCACCCACGTGGGAGGAAGCCAGTGGAGAGAATCATTCTGAGACCTCAAAAGAGCCTGGAAGAACCCAGGAGTCCTGATACCACACCCCTCACACCCCCATCCTTCCCCAGAGTTGAGAGGGAACACAGGAGTCCTGGCTCCCAGCTTCCCCTCCCCAACCCACTGACCCCACTCCCTTCCCAGAGCTGGGAGAGAACCCAGGCATCCTGGCCCCCAGTCCCTTGCTCTAACCCACTAGATTAGGGAGATTTGGGACCTCAGCAGGACCTACTAGTCCTGCTGTGATGGGAAAAGGGGAGTTTCCAGAGCCCCACAGGACAGCCTGACCCTGGGGGTACATGGGGTGGTCCCTCATCCCCAGACTGAGCCCTGGTGGGGGGAGGGGGAGCTGGGCCCAGGGCAGGAATCCACCAGCTGATGCCTCAGAGCCCCAGTGATAGGAGAGAGGCTGTGGGGCAGGAGTGAGGGGCACTGGGGGAGGGCAAAGGCAGCTGTGGGTCAGGAGTAAGGGGCACTGGCAGGGCTGAGGGGATGGGGGGCTGCAGATCAGGAGTGAGGGGCACCGGCCAGATGTTGCTATGGGAGGCTGTGCAATGTTAGGTTATTCCCATCACCCACAGACCTGGACATGTCAGTGCTTGGGGTGGGAAGGTGGGGATTGTGCAAGCTGTGGTGGTTGTGTAGGGAGGAGGGTTGTGTAGCACAGGGCACTATGCCCATGGGTTTGTGTAGCAGTGTGTGCTTGTGCGCCTGCGGGGCCTGTTGTACAGGTGTAACGCGGTGCCAGGGTGCAGCGTTTCATGGGTTGTGCAGCCGCGGGGGTGCGCAGCAATGCAGTGGTGTAGCTGCGTTACCCTTTGCGGGTCCAGGGCTGTGCAGTTGTGTAGCTCAAGGTGGGGGCCAGGCTGCGTGTGGGAATTGCGCAGGGACACATAATTGTGCAGCTATGTCCTTCAGGCATGAGCAGCTCTGTGGTTGCAGGGCAGTGCTGTTGTGTAGCTGTTAGTGTGTGTGTGTCCGTGTGACAGTGCAGGGTAGTTGTGTAGCTGTGTCTGCATGTGGCAGGGCAGTGTATTTGTGTAGTTGTGTGTGAAAGACAATGCAGGAAAGTGCCGTGCAGTTATGTAGCTGCGTGTATGGGGGGCGGGGGGCAGGGTAATTAAGTTATATAGCTGTGTGTGATACTGCAGGGCTATGCAGTTGTGTAGCTGTGTGGGGGCGGGGTAGGGCAGTATGGTTATGTAGCTCTATGTGTGCATGGCAGGACAGGGCAGTTGTGTGGTTGTGTGTGGGGGGGTAGAGCAGGGCACTGCATTTGTGTAGGGATGTGTGTGTATGGCAGGGCAGGGCAGCACAGTTGTGTAATTGTGTGTGTAGCAGGGCAGTCCAGGCAGTGCATGCATGTGGGGCAGTGCAGGACTGTACAGTTGTGTAGCTGTGTGTGGACAGCAGGGAAGTGATGTGTGGCTGTGCAGCTGTGTGTGTGTGTGTGTGTGTAACAGTGCTGAGCAGTGCAGTTGTCTAGCTGTCTGGGTGGGGTAGGCCAGGCAGTACATTGTGTAGCTGTGTGTGCATGGCAGGACAGGGCAGTTGAGTGGTACTGCAAGGCAGCACAGTTGTGTAGTTGTGTGTTTAGCAGGGCAGTGTGGTTGGGTAGCTATGTGTGTGTGACAATGTAATTGTGTATGTGTGTGTGTGGCAGGGCAGGGCAGTTGTGCAGCTGTGTATATGAGGCAGTGCAGAGCAGAGTTGTTATGCAGATGTGTGTGCGTGTGTCACACTGCAGGCCTGTGTATTTGTCTACCTACATGCATATGGCAGAGAAGTGCTGTGCGGTTGTATAGCTGTGTGTATGTGGCAGGACAGGGCAGTTGTGTAGCTGTGTATGTGAGGCTGTGTGTAGCTATTGTGGGGCAGCGAAGCTGGATTATGGTTCAGAGTTCTGTGCATGTGTGTGTGTGCTGGGGGGGGGAGGAGTTGTAGCTGTGTATGCTCAGGGGCACTAGGTGCCCATACACCTGGGTTCTGGCTGCCCTGTGGGAGGTGCTGGTTGTGTGGTTATGTAATGGGGAGTAAAGTTGTGTAGCCCCCTGTGTGGGTGTGAGGCTGGGCTGCTGGGCAGCCCTGGAGGTGCAAGGGCACTGTGTTGCATTGTGTAGCTATGTAGGAGCAGGGATGAGAGCACCTGTTGTGAGGCCATATTTTGTGTGTGCTGTGACTTAGCATCGGGAGAAGATGTAGTTGGGAGCTGGGACACCTGGGTTCTCTCCCAGTGCCAAGAGGCGATTGATTTCTAGTGGGTCAGAGTAAAGGGCATGGGGGGCTGAAGGGGCTGGAAGGCCAGACGCCTAGGTTGTATCTCAGTTTTAGCAGGGGAGTGAGGTTTAGTGGCTGGGTGGGGGGAGCCTGGACACCTAGGTTCTAGCTCAGCTGTGGCAAGGATGTAGAGTTTAGTGGATTAATGTGCGTGTGTATGCGTGCATGCATGTGTGTTTGTGTGCTTTGGGGGGACTGAGGGGGGGAGGGGTAGGGAACCAAGACACCTGGGTTCTATCTCCACTGTGGCAGGGGCATGGGGGCTAGTGGCCTGGCACAGGGGTCTGGGGGCCCTGATGCCTGGCTCCTCACTGTGAAGGCCTCTCTCTCTCTCTCTCTCTCTCTCTCTCTCTCTCTCTCTCTCTCTCTCTCTCTCTCTCTCTCTCTCTCTCTCTCTCTCTCTCTCTCTCTCTCTCTCTCTCTCTCTCTCTCTCTCTCTCTCTCTCTCTCTCTCTCTCTCTCTCTCTCTCTCTCTCTCTCTCTCTCTCTCTCTCTCTCTCTCTCTCTCTCTCTCTCTCTCTCTCTCTCTCTCTCTCTCTCTCTCTCTCTCTCTCTCTCTCTCTCTCTCTCTCTCTCTCTCTCTCTCTCTCTCTCTCTCTCTCTCTCTCTCTCTCTCTCTCTCTCTCTCTCTCTCTCTCTCTCTCTCTCTCTCTCTCTCTCTCTCTCTCTCTCTCTCTCTCTCTCTCTCTCTCTCTCTCTCTCTCTCTCTCTCTCTCTCTCTCTCTCTCTCTCTCTCTCTCTCTCTCTCTCTCTCTCTCTCTCTCTCTCTCTCTCTCTCTCTCTCTCTCTCTCTCTCTCTCTCTCTCTCTCTCTCTCTCTCTCTCAGCCACTCCTGACCTCCCCAGCAGCCCCCTCACACACACCCCATTTGCAAAGGGGTCAGGTCCCCTGGGTCCCCTGGAGCCTCCCCCCAACACCCTCCAGCCAGCCCCAACCCCCACAGCTCCAGCCACACAGCCACCTGCTCCCCGCCGAATATCTCCGCCCAGCAGCTGGTGGTAGAAGTTCCCCATGACAGATGCCCCTTAGATTCAAGACCGACTCCCCACTGCCCTAGCCCCTCAGCCCAGATGGAGAGTACTGCCAAGTAGCAGTCCTCCAACAACACTGAACCCCCCTCCTCCCTGCCCCCCCCCCCTCCCCCCCCCCCCCCCTGCCCCCTCCCCCTCCCTGCTGGGTGTTGTCAGGACCGGGTGGCGGGGGTGGGGTGGGGTGCCACCACTGTGACACCCCCCCACCCCCTTCTTTCCTTTCCTGCTGCCTGGCCCTGACACCAGCCACCAACATGCCTGCCCAAGCTTGTGCAGCC